AATAAAAAATATATTAAAAAAAGGTTTGAAAACATTTAGGAGAACTGAAATGCATAAATATGTCATGATATATATGTATATACTGTAGATGAGGCCCCTAGAACCATAAGAAATGCAAAAAATGCAGTTAATAGTTCAATTCTCGTTGCCCTCCTTAAAAATCAAACTGCCCCCCTGTGGGGCGTGTGCCCCCGGTGGGAACACTGGGTTGGGGTGACCAGGGACCGCACGTGCCCTGACTCCTAAGCCCTTTCTCCGTCGGAACGTCCGGCGTTGAACGAGGTTAGCGAAGCTTTGGCTGAACCTCTCTGCGGGGTCACTGTGTCCACACGCCTTTCTGGGTGTGGAGCTTCCCTTCGGACCAGACAGACTTTTGGTTAAAGGCTTGTCCACATGAGCTCCAGTCAAGACCCGTCTCTTCTGTGGACTTTCTGGTGCTGAATGAGGCTGAAACGCCGGCGAAAGGACTTCCCACAATCACCGCACGCCTACGGCGTCTCTCTGGGGTGAGCCCTCCGATGTTTCACCAGGCTGGAGCTGTAGCGAAAGCTTTTCCCACAGTCCCCGCACGCGTAAGGCCTGGCTCTGGTGTGCACCCTCTGGTGCTTGACCAGGCTCGAGTTCTCACTGAAGAGTCGGCCACAGTCCTTGCCCTGAAAAGGCTTTTCTCCAGTGTGAACTTTGCGGTGCTGCACGAGGCTACAGCTTTGGCTAAAAAACTTCCCACAGTCCCTGCACTCCTAAGGCCTTTCTCCGGTGTGGACTCGCCAGTGAGTAGTGGGGCTGGCCTGGTGGCTATAGAATTTCCCACATTCAGTGCACCCATAAGGCCTTTCTCCAGTGTGAACCCTCTGGTGTTTCAGGAGCCCCGAGCTGAAGCTAAGGGATTTCCCACATTCGGTGCACTCAAAAGGCCTCACCCCAGTGTGGACCCTGTGGTGCTGGATGAGCGTGGAGTGATGCTGGAAGGCTTTCCCACACTCACTGCACGTGAAGGGCTTCTCTCCGGTGTGAACTCTCCGGTGTTGAACCAGGTCGGCCTTGCGGCTGAAGGATTTCCCGCATTCGCTACAGCCGTAAGGCCATTCCCCATGTGAACTATTTGGTGCACGAAAAGGTTGGACTTTCGGCTAAATGCCCGCCCACGCTCACTGCACTGGTACGGCTTTTCCCCCGGTGTGCAGCCTCCGGTGCTCCACCACCAAGTATTTCTGACCACAGGCTTTCCCACACTCGCTGCACTTGTATTGCCTTCTTTGGGGGTGATGCTGGGCGGCCCCAGAGGGCGCCCCTGTACTGTGAGTCCCCTGCTGTCTGAGACCAGTGCCGGCTGGAAAGTCCTTCTGGCCCCGCGTCCCCTCTTCTCCTCCTAAGGGCTTCTCTCCACAGCGCAGCTTCTGGTGTTGGTGGTGGTTCGCTCTGGGCACTCCTCCTGCAGGAACACTCCCCTCGGCCTCTGCTCCACACCCACAGCCTGAAAGCAGAGACGTGACGATGCAGAGATGCAGGCCTGGGGGGGAGGGGCAGAGACGTGCTGAGGAAGAGATGTGGACCTGGGAGGAGGGGCGGCACCTCACAAACCTGCACCCCACACACCCAGCCGAGCTAAGTCCCGGGGCTGCGGGAGGATGAGGGCGGGAGACCGTGTGGGAAGGGCCTGACCAGCTCCCAGGCCAGTGGGGCCTCCGGAGCAGCCAGGACACAAGGACCGGCTCCCGAGAGCTGCAAGCTGCTGGTCACCTAGGAGCACGGCCCAGAAGGGTGTTCAGACCCAGAAAAATGGAACCAACTGCCCGGCTGGCGTGGCTCAGTGGTTGAGCACCGACCCATGAACCAGGAGGTCACGGTTCGATCCCTGGTCAGGGCACACACCCGGGTTGTGGGCGCCCTCCCCAGTGGGCAACTGGGAAAGCAAGGATGGAAAGCCCCTTGTCTTGGCACCAAACCGTCAGGCCCCGGGAAGGACTGTGGCACTGTGAGCCCCCCTGAGCCACGCCCCTCCCTCCGTACCCGCTGGTCAGGCCGCAGTCCTGACGCCACCGGCAGGCAGAAGGGGCTCCCCCCACTGCGCCAGCTGGGGGAGCTCATGGGTCCCGCCAGATGCAAGGCCTACGGGAGAGACAAGACAGGGGGTGGGAGCAGCCCACCCCGTGGCCGATGACCCCTCAGGCTGTGACTGTGTTGGTGCCTGAATTCCAGCCCCAGGCAGATCCCATGTCAGACACAGGAAGAGGCCAGAGCCGGGGACAGAACCGCAGGGACCGTCACCGTGTCACAGGCCAGGGAGAGGCCAAGGGTGCGAGCCACCAGGCTGACTGCGGGAGTCCTCGTCCACAAACCCCTGCCCACAAGGCTTAGGGCAGCTCGGGGAAGCGGGGTGCAGTGCACACAAGGCGGGCACGGGCTGGGCGCTCGCACAACACCCTCGGGCGGGGAAGGCGGGGGAAGCTCACCCAGGGAGGCCATCAGCGCCACGTTCTCCTGCATCACGTCGCGGTACAGACGTCGCTGAGCCGCAACCAGGAGCTGCCACTCCTCCCGGGAGAAGCGGACGGCCACATCCTCGAGGGTCACACGGCCCTGCCAGAGTGGGGAGAGAGGGGAGGGGCCAAGGCGAGAGGAAAAAAAAGCATCCATGTGAGGGAATTAAGTGCGGGGACCCTTCCGCATGCAGGCCAGAGCTCCGACCACTGAGCAACCGGCCAGGGCCACCATCAAATCGGGGTCCATCGGCCCCCAGTACCAGGGCCTGAGGCCATCGGTTTACACTCCCTCCCAATGTGCTCATCACTCCTTCCCGCACCTCCCTTCCCTTCACGTCCCCAACCCCTCACTGCCACCCCCCCCAAAACACACACCACATGCATCTCCCAGGTTCACCACACACCCATGTGCACATGGCATCCGGGGGACTTGGCACATGTGATCAGAATCCCATCCTGCCCTGGCCGGCGTGGCTCAGTGGATAGAGAGCGTCAGCCTGTGGACTGAAGGGTCCTGGGTTCAATCCCTGGTCAGGTCACATGCCCAGGTTGTGGGGTCGATCCCAAGTGGGGGGGGGGGGTTCAGGAGGCAACCGATCAATGATTCTCTCATCATTGATGTTTCTCTCTCTCTCTCCCTCTCCCTTCCTCTCTGAAATCAACAAAAATATATTAAAAAAAAAAAAGGAATCCCATCTGCCCAGGCCTCCCTGCCCCGCTCCCTGCCCGACCCGGACCCTCCCTCTCTCCTCAGCCACCTGGGGCCACCCGTGGGTTTCAGACACCCTCAGCCCTCACTCATGTCTCCCTTGCCAGGTGTCCCCTCAAAGGCTCAGCTTCCTGCCACTAATGACGCCCAGGCCCACGTGCCTCACATCACGCCCCCGACTCTCCCCAAGGCCCCCCTGGATCTGAGCGAATCCCACAATCTCAGAGCCTGTGAGCCACACCTTCCCTGCCACCTCACTCCACATCCTCTCTCTTCTCTTTGTTAATCCTCACCCGCGGATATTTTCCCACTGATTTTAGGGAAAGTGGGAGAGAGAGGGAAGACAGAGAAACATCCCTGTGAGAGGAGCACATCCATTGGTTGCCTCCTGCACCCGCCCCGACCGGGGGGAGGGGAGCCTGCAACCAAGGACTTGCCCTTGACCAGAATCGAACCTGGGACCCTTCAGTCCGCAGGCCGACGCCCTATCCACTGAGCCACACCAGCCAGGGCACATCCATCTCTTATCCACTCCCCTCCTCACTCCCCTCCCCCCACGGCGCCTATTCTGCCTCACGTGTCTTTGTGAAGCACCCCCCACCCCCAGGGGGTATCCAGCAGGAGACCCAGCTTTGGCCCCGCAGGCCCCTCGTGGCAGGCCGATGCTCTATCCACTGAGCGACACCGGCCAGGGCACATCCATCTCTTGTCCACTCCCCTCCTCAGTCCCGCAACCCCGCCCCCCACGGCCCCTATTCTGCCTCACGTGTCTTTGTGAAGCGCCCCCCACCCCCAGGGGGTATCCAGCAGGAGACCCAGCTTTGGCCCCGCAGGCCCCTCGTGACCTAAGGGCACGGCCACCGGGACTGAAGCTGTTGCTACAGGCTCTGACCCACAGCTCCATCGCGGTCCGTCCACCATGGGCGGCGTGGGTGTCTCCATCAGAACCCTTTACCTGAAAACCCCCAACTTGAAATCCCCTCAGGAGTCTCTGGGACATCTCGGTTCAATACGGGCAAAACCTGGCTCCTGCTATTCCCACTGAAACCCACTCTTACATCTGGCCAGGTTGCTCAATGGTTAGAGCGTGGTCCTCACAAGCCAAGTTGTGGGTTCAATCCCCAGTCAGGGCACCGACAAGAACCAACCAATGCGTGCCTGAGTGAGTGGGACAGCAAGTGGGTGTTTCCTTCTCTTGTCCCCTGGCTCCCACCACCATCGGCCGAGGCCCAGCTTCAGGCCGGGTTCCAGGTCCAATCGCTGCTTCCCGCCGACAAGCCAAGTTGTGGGTTCAATCCCCAGTCAGGGCACAGATAAGAACCAACCAATGTGTGCCTGAGTGAGTGGGACAGCAAGTGGATGTTTCCTTCTCTCTCTCTCTTTCCCCCTCTCTCTACAATCATTTTAAAAAGAAAAAGAGAAATTTATCTTACAGCCGCCCTGGCACGTGTGGCTCAGTGGATAGTGTTGGCCTGCAGACCGAAGGGTCCCAGGTTCGATTCCGGCCAAGGGCACATGCCCGGGTTGCAGGCTCCGTCCCCAGTGGGGGGCGTGCAGGAGGCAGCCGATCCATGATTCCCTCTCATCATTGCTGTTTCTATCTCTCTCTCTCCCTCTTCCTTCCTCTCTGACATCAATAAAAAGATATTTAAAAAAAAAATAAGTGGAACAACAAATCGATGTTTCTCTCCTCCCTCCCTCTCACAAATCAATAAATTAAAAAAGAAAAACGGAAGTTTGCTCGGATCTACTTAAAATGCATACACAGACTCCACCGTCTTCAACCTCCACCCACCACGGGTTCGGCCACACAGACACTCGCGGGGACCAATGCAGTGGCCTCCTCCGCGGCCTCCCCGCACCCTCCACAGTCCGCTCTCCGTGCTGCCACCAAAAAGCTTGTCAAGCCCTGGCTGGTGTGGCTCAATGGCTAGAGCGACAGCCTGAGGACTGGAGGGTCCCAGGTTCGATTCCGGTTTATTAAGACAAACCATCTTTGCACGAGGCCCAGCTTCAGGCCGGGTTCCAGGTCCAATCGCTGCTTCCCGCCGCCTCCACCAGGCCCAGTGCCGACCACGGCCTCCTGGGCACCCCTAGCTCAACCTCACCACCGCACCTCCTGACGCTGCAGGTAGAACACACGGCGCCACCAGCTGCCAGAGGTGGGGCCCAATCCAGACGCTCCCTGGTCAGGACTCAAAGCCCTGGCCCTGGGCGGCACCTGCCAGAGATCTCCGATGGAAGGACGGACGGAAGGACGGACGGAAGGACGGACGAGAAGGACCCCCTCCCTGACCTCTGCCTGGTCTGCAAGCACCTCTGCAGGTAACAGTGTCGACCCCGGGGCGCATCCACGCCTCGCCCCACCACTCGGGGCCTCTCAGAGGCTGTGTGATCCTCCCCGTGCCTCAGTGTTGCCACCTGTAAAATGGGAACAAAGACGGCGCCCGCCCAGGGAGGCCGCTGCCTGGGTCACACTCGTGCCTGTGCGTCAGGCCCTTCCCGTCCCCACAATCACCGCCGGTCACAGCGCATCTGACGCGGCACCAAACCCCGTCCAGTTATTTTTATTTTTTAATTGATTTGTTTTTTTGAGAGAGAGAGATTGAAGAGCAAGAACCACGCCTCGTCCACGCCCCCTACTGGGCACTGAGCCCACGACGGCGCATGCGCCCCGACCCCGGAACCAAACCCACCCCCGACCTCGGGGCACCTGGGGCAGCACTCAGCCACCTGAGCAACAGCAGCCCAGCAAGCCTGTCTTTTTTTGTTTTATTTGTTTTTTAAAATATATATTTATTGATTTCAGAGAGGAAGGGAGAGGGAGAGAGAGAGAGAGAAACATCAATGATGAGAGAGAATCATGCATTGGCTGCCTCCTGCACGCCCCGAACCCGGGACCCTTCAGCCCGCGGGCCGACGCTCTACCCACTGAGCTACACCGGCCGGGGCGGCCCGTCCGGTTCTGAAAATCCAGCCCAGATGGGCCATTCCGCCCCCTCCCATGGCCACCCGTGCGCCCAGTCCCCACCCGAACTCCTGGTCCCGGGCACTGACCCCTGAGCCTGTGGGGGGCGCTCACGGGGCGGCGGGGAGGCCCGGGACCCCCTCACCTC